CCGGCCTGGGGGAAGCCACAGCTGGAGCCCTATTTCTGAACTCACCACTGGTGCTGATGGGTCAAGCCCAAATCCACACAGCTTTGACCTCTGAAAAAGGCTGGACCGTACGAGCCCTGTCCATTGCAGACTGGGGTGCTGAGGGGCTGAGTGCGGGCCAGGCGCAAGCCCAGAGCCTTCTGCTGCCCAGCGACAGCTAAGCCCAGCTCTGCTCGAGGATGAGCAGGGTGTCAGGGTGCAGGGCCACACTATCCACCCTATCCAGCCCAGCCGCTTCCCTCTCCGCACTGCTCTACGCACAGATGTCCTGACTGGGGCTGGGGTGCAGACATGTCCTGCTGCCTCCAGGCTTTGACTATGCTCCTCTGTGTTATCTCTCCGTCTCCTCCCAGGCTGCAGGAGCTGGGGCAGGAGGAGAGTCAAAGATACTCTTGCAAGTTTGCCATGAACTCATGTTTGGATCTTGGTTAGCCTTTCCTTGTCAAGGAAGAGTCAAGATACAAGTGAGTAAGAAGTGTTTGAGATCATCAGAGAGGACTACGAACACTAAGGGGCCGTCAAGGGTGCTGTAAAAAGGCCAGCGCAGGTTACGTATGCAGGCTGCCACACGTCCCCTTCTCCTTACAGACACGACGGGATTCAGAATAGCAACAGCCCGATGGTGCTTCCTGTCAATTTACAAGCTGTGTCCTTGCCTTGGCTTCCCCTCTGAGCTCAGTCATTAAAATTCAGCCTCCATCCTCCGGGTAGGGAGCAATCGCTGCTCCGTAAACAGGAAGAGCCTCCGGCTCTGCCAGGCACCAGTGAAACCCCCACAAAAGCTCTCACAGGGCTCCTGGTGGGCCAAGAGCAAGCACTCTGGTCCCCAAGGTGGCTGCAGGTGGGCAGGCAGATGCGGCTCCACGGGGACACAGCGCCCGGTTGGCACACATCTGGGCTCCTGCACGCCCAGCCCGGCCTCGCTCACCTCGGCAATGGCCACCTTCCTCTCCCAAGCCTTCAGGCTCTTTTCGAGGTCAGTAACAGCCATCTTCTTCCACACGTAACTCAGCACAGGGGGAACGCTGTAGTCTGAGAGTTGCTTCTGCAGCTGCCAATCCACACCCTCAGCTTCGGCTCGTTGCTGCCGGAGGAACAGGGACAGAGGGCAAGGAGATCCCAGGGAAACATCCCTCTGCCAGCCTGCTGCCAGTCATCCAGGGAAGCAGGCAGGCAGGATAAGCTAAACCCCTGGCACTGCGGGGGAGCGGAGGAATGCATCCATCCCATCCCTGCCAGGCAGCACTGCTAGGGAGCTCCCTGAACCCGCTTCCCAAAGCTGTGGTGTCCCCGCCAGGCTGTGTCCCCAGACTGGTATGACAGCAGTGCCGCTTCTCACTGGGGAGGACACTGCTGATGAAAAGTTCAAGGAAACAGAATTTCAAGAAGCCAGTGGCAGGTCCCTGTGGAGCTACGGCCAAAATCCACAAAATGGCCTGTTCTGCAAACCTGTCCGTGCTCACTGGCGCCAGCACGAGCCCCGGGACTTTCGCAGACCCAGAAAGGCACACAGGTATCCAGCTCATTGCCAGGCCTTGAATGGGCATCAGTATCCAACATACCACCAAAAGAACCTCAGGAGAGTCCTCCCAAGCGAAGTCTCAGGGCCTCCCAAATTGCTCTCTTACCTCCTCCACCAGAACAGCTTCTCTTTCAGTTTTCTCCAGCAGCTCCTTCCTCTGGGAGATGTCTTTCATCAGAGACGCGGACGTTGCCATGGAGTCCTGCAGCTTCGTCTGGAACAGGAGAGCAGGACAGCATCAGCGGCAACTCCCAGCCACCTGCAAAGCCACCCCTCTGCTCCTCCAGCTTGGTCGCAGCTGTCGGTGCAGGAGATCTGCTCCCAGGGGAGCTCTGCGGCACTGCTCGTCCCCTGCAGAAGGCAGCGTCATGCCCTGGTCACACAGCTACTGCTTCCTTACATCCTCTGTGTCACACTACAGCACAGCTCACAGCACAGCAGCCGGGGTTTAGGACTGACCCGGACAGAATGGCTGATCAGAGAACACACCCAGCTGAGAAGAACTTTTCGTTGATAAGAGCAGAGACTCAGAGTGATGGCTGCAGCTCATGACATCTTTCCAAATGTCACAGGTTACGTAAAAAATGTATTTTCCTGTGCAAGACAGCACCAAAGCTCTTTCCTACTGGCATTTTCCCCTGGGGCATAAAATAACCACGCTGCAAATCACGAACCCCATCGTCAGGCTGCAGCCAAAGATGAATGAGAGCATCGCTGCTTTTGGCGTGTCGGGCAAACCGCCCAACCCAACTGCTCAGGCAGTGGGAAGGCAGGGAGGTGTCTCTCTGACTAAGGGAAGGATGCAAGAGCTATTCATCAGCTCCTGTGTCACCCTCAGAAACAAGAAAGGGAAAATGGAGGTGCTGAGAGGTTCACTCACTTTATAGAAGTTGAGGACGTGGACAGTCTTCTCTGAGGTCAGTTTTAGCTGCAGCAGCTCCTGGTTCTTCTCAGCAATCTTCTGCTGGTACTGGGCATTTCTAACCTGCAGCTGCTGCAGACGGAACTCAAGGAATGTCTCTCCCATCTGCTCCTTCTGCAAACCCTGAGGAAGCAGTGCTGTAGGTTGTTGACCAAAGCTACATCTCGAGTAAGAGAGCTTTGCTCTATGGGGAAAGCAGACCTAAAGAACAGGGTCTGCAGCCTGGCCCCAAACCTGAGGCTCAGGGAGAAAGGCGAGACACAGCGTGCCACCGAGCCCGTGCTCTGTGGC